TTGCATCAGTTCCTTTCCTCTGGCAATCCATGGTTCATCAGGTTTTTCGGTGTGGTGTTTTTTTTTTTTTTTTTTTTTTTTGAGGTTTTGGACAGGAGGTTCTGCCTTGAAAATGAGCAAAAACTGGCAAAAAAGCCCAGAAATTCAGCAATTTTCTTGGATTTTGAGGTGGTGCTTGAGGGGTTTTGGGTAGAAAACTGGAAATTCCACCACATTTCCCAGCTTTGTTCCAGACAGGGATGGAGGTTACGGAGAAAGGTGAAAAATAGCGGGAAAAAATTCCCAAATCTCAAGGGTTTTCCTGGGTTTCGGAAAAAAATCCCCAAAACTCAAAATGTTTTTCTGGGTTTCAGAAGAAAATCCCCCAAAACTTAAAGGCTTCAGAAGAAAAATCCCCGAATCCCAGGAGTTTTCCTGGGTTTCAGAAGAAGAATCCCCAAAATCCAAAGGTTTTCCTGGGTTTCAGAAGAAGAATCCCCAAATCCCAAGGGTTTTCCTGGGTTCCCTGGTGTTCTTGTTGGATTTTTGAGGAGAAAAGAGGAAACTTCACCAGAAACCCCATTTCCCTGCGTTTTGGGGCGAACTTTATGCCGTAAAACCCGAAACCACCGAACCCCGCGCCGAAGCCGAGCGTTTCCGCGGATTTTCGGGGTTTTTTTGGGGGGGAAAATCAGAATTCCAGGGATTCACCCCCAGCTGGGGCACGGCGGGAGCTCGGCGAGCGGGCGGCAGCGCTCGAGGCCGGCGCGGACACCGGTGACGGCGCGGCTCCACGCCCAGCCGGCGACGGGCACGCGGTGCGGGCGGCCCGAGCGTGATTCTGTGTTTACAGAAAACACCACCTGAGAGACATCTGATCACTCCAATAGCTATATCTGTAGTTTTAGCAAAGTGATGGGATGCAGCTTTAACAATTCAGCTCCCTCACACCTCACCAATTGCTACAATCCAGCTGCACACTGTGTCAAGTTTCATTGCCTGTCACACTGGAGTGAATCTGGCATTGGCAAGGAACTGTTGCAATATGATGATCTGAGTCCATGCTGAAATGGACAACAGCACAACAGACAAAGAACCCGCATTGCCACCCATCATCAGGCAGAGAAGATACTCCATGTCCTGGAAAGAGGGAAGAAAGAGAGAGAACATTGCTGGTGGGAAACTATCTTTGGATGGCCACGCAGAGCAACTGGAATTTTGAATTTAATGTTGCATCCAATTGTAGTTTTGTTAGT